GTAACTTCTGACATTTTAAATTGGCCATGCAATAAGAATGTAGCTTAAGCTTAATGTCCTCTGCTTTTTCTTTTTTTTTTCTGATGGCCTCTACTTTTAACATTCTTTAGGCATTCTGTTCAATGTTTGTGGGGAGAGCTAATAGTGGATGGTAAGCATGAGAGAGTCAAACAGAAATAAAAGGATTATTCAGGAGGAGGGCAGTTTACTTCCATTAACTATAGGCAGAGCTGCAGAAGAAGAAATATGGGGGTCTCACAGGTTGAACAATTTCTCTAAGTAATTCAAACATCCATGTAAATACAGACTGCAGAAGAAATCAGATTCTTTTACTTAAAAAAAAAAAAAAGGATATACACTGATAAAAGATTTCAAGGAAAAGCAGAAGGGAAAGAAACCAAGAAGGGAAGAAGAAGGTTATTTTTGGAGAGAGAAAAAGGTATGAAAAAAGCCAGGAAGCAGTACAGGCTGGAGCAGAAGGTAATAGCCACTGTCCATTACTTTGTATAATAAGGCCACAGGGCCTTTCATTTTCTGAGCGAATCAGAGAAATTCTCAATGTGTAAGTTGGTCTAAGATCCTCAAGAACAAGTAGCCGGTCTACTCTTGAGCTGTTCATGTCTTTGGAACGAGTGGGAAGACTAGAGAAATGGTTTTCAATGGTTCAACACAAGGCCTAGGGGCAGTTCTGTTCTACAGACTAGCCGAGAAAACATCTGTTGTTTTTGCCTGCCTGTGTCTACTGCCCTTTCTTCCAGCAACAACTTTTTGAGTCTTTGGGTAACTACTTCTCACCTTCTCTCACTCCAAATACTTCAGATAGAGTTGACCCTTCCTTCTTGATAGCATCATGGTGATCCCATGACCCTCACCTGGCCAACTGGCTCACACCCGCTCTCTGACCAAAGAGATTAGTTCAGGAATAGGCATGTGACCAAAGGTGGCCCAGTGAGACCCAGTGAGATGCTTTCATTCTGCCGAGCTAGTAGGATATAAACCTGGAACTTCTGCTGGCCGGCTTGACAATGAAGCCAACACTGAAGAAAGTAGGACCTAGAAGCAGGGGTGGTGAAGAAGGAGAGAATGGAGGAGAGGAAGGGAGAGAGAATAACCGCTAATGACACCATTGGAGCATATCTAAACTAGCAGATAAAGACCTAAGACTTTCAGTTACAGGAGCCAATTAAATTCCTCAAAGTCAAAATGCAACAAAAATAACAAAGAACAAAACTCACCTTGGTTGTGTCGCTTACAATATTTCCTACGCGCACAGCCAATGCCAAAGTGCCCCCTACACATAGGTATCTGGTCAAATACCATGAAGCCAAATACCTTGTATTTCTTTGTATCACATATAATATGTAGTGCAATCTTTACAACTTACAATGTATAATGAGTCTCTGCTGATTTGCCAAAGACAAGCAATTCATTTTATCTACATCCAAGTACCAGGCACTGTGCTAGTAATCAATGCAGAGTGAGAAATGGTATCTGCCTTCAAGATTATAACTGAATTGGGAAGATAATATCTATAAAAAGAAAAAGAACCACCAACAATGGTCTATTAGAGGGAGAGAGAACTTTTTAAGTATCTTTTTGTAAGATTTTCAGGGAAAAACATTTTGTATGGAACTGCTGGAGATTCTGACGTATACAAATGGATTTCTCATTTGAGTGTCCTGGACAGCAGTGAGAAAGCGGGGTTCTGTTACTGAATAGAAAATGAAATCTCAGGAACACTGTTGTCCATGTAATAGCACATAAAGTATCACATTTTTTCTTGGCCTAGCTTTCTTTTCTTTAAACCTGCATAAGACAGAAGGTGTCAAGGAAAACCATAGTAAGACAAAGCAATGTCTATAAAAGAGATGGGAAAATTACAAAGGAGGACCATTTCAATTTATTATCGTCAGTTCCGAGTTTTCAAAAAAATCTATTCAACATACCTTTGCTTCAATGCGTAATCTTCTCCCATGAACAATGAAGGGCTCTTTGGTAAACTCATCAAAACTATACTGCCACTCACATGTAAGCTGTCCAAATGTTCCTTTTGTTACAAACAAGACACCGCTGGGGGGAAGAAAAGAACCCACTGTAGACATAAAGGCACTTATATCCAGTAATATAATAGCAAGATGTACATTCATTGCAAGTGCACATAATGCAAACAGAGACTGTATTATGAGTCATACATAACCTTAAGGAATTTAAAAGAACTGAAATCATACAAAGTATGTCCTCAGATCATAATGAAATTAAACTAGAAACCAGTAACAGAAACAATTATTTCTAAATGCTTGGAAATTAGCATACTTCTCAATAATCCATGAGTCAAACAATCTCAGAAGAAATTAGAAAATGTCTTGAACTGAATGAGAACTAAAATATAACACAACATAAAATTTGTGGGAGGTAGCTAAAGCAATGTTTTGTGGGAAATTGGTAGCACATAATACCTAAGTTAGAAAAAATGAAGTACTTCTAAATTCAAATATGTAAGACGCTTTATACAAAATAAACTTACAGAACCTATTATTAACCAATATTTTGGAGAGCTTTTGTGTAACTAATGCTTTAGAATAAATGTTTTTATTACCAAAGCTCCATGCAATAGGCTTACCAACCTACCTCAGAAAGAGGTTTTTAAAATTAATTCTTGTTTTCCCATTTTTGGGGGGGGGGGGGGAAATCAAGAAATGAAAATGCATGGTCTATAATTCTATTTAATCCTTCATTCAAAGGCTTTTCTTCCCCAATTCTTTCTGGTTGAAACATCAACTCTAGGTGCAAGCAGATTATTTTTTTAAGTAATACATACTTTAAGTCAAGGGACTGCAATAAAGAAAAGAGCTGGCTCCTGGTTGGGACAACTAATCAGGACTTACATCTATCACTTCAATCTTCTGTCTCTGCTCCCCTTTCTCACCAATCCTGGATGACAGGTACTAGTGGAAAAAACCAACTGGTCCTCTCCTAGGTCCTCAACCACGTGGAAAGTCAAAGACAGGCTCATCTCGTAGTATGTTCCTGGTACTCCCTTTCCTGACTCAAAGACCTGTTTTTCTTTTTTTAAGTTTATTTATTTATTTAGAGAGAGAGACTGAGTGAGAGCAGGGGAGGGACCGAGAGAGGAGGAGATGGTGGATCCCAGGGAGGCTCCACTCTCAGCGCCAAACCCAACACCAGGCTTGATCCTTCAACTGTGAGATCATGACTTAAGCTGATATCAAGAGTTGGACACATAACCCACTGAGCCACCCAGGTGCCCCTCAAAGACACTTTCTCAAATATGAAACGTGTAAATAAAGGAAATCCTAGGTACGAGTATTACCTTTCACTCAACTGCAACTAACTTCCCTTACTTTATCAGGGTTTATATGACTTCCTTTAAACAGATCCATTATGTTGAAAAGTTTTTTAAATCTTGCAAACTAATCTATAAACTGACTCTTGTTTAACTCTGATGAGTCACACAGTTCGCATCGTCAGTGGGGGAGAGGGTTAATAAAAAGATGACTGAAAATCGCTAGAACAAGAATGCTTGAAGCACTGCCCCCCAATTGTAAAAGTTTACTGACTTAGATGCAAAATTTAGTACATACCTATAAATGCTAAAGTAGTCCTTTACAAGTTAAGAAAGATCTCCATATGTTGATATGGAATAATCTTCAAGACATAGATCTTAAGCAAAAAATTACAGAATGGTATGTGTAACAGATTCCCATTTCTATTAAGATACATATGCGTGTATGCTTGTATAGGCAGAGAGTACTTCAAGGAGGAAACAGGTAAAAATGGTGGCCAGTAGGACCGGGAAAAGAGGGACTGGTACCTAGGATGGAACGAAGATTAACTTTTACAAGTATACCTTCTAATACCACGTGGATTTTCTACTTTGTGTTACTTTTAAATAAGAAAATTAATATAGTGTTGTAAATTCTAGACCCGGAAGTGGTTAGTATGAAAAACGTTAGAAATGACTGCTAAGTTCAACAGTGAATTTGAACTAATAGGTGCTAATACAACTTCACCCTTCTCAATAGTGAACGAAACCAGAGGTTTATTGACAATTTCTTTCAGTTAGCCATAACCTCTCCTCCTCAGTCACATTTCACTCTGTGCCATCCATCCAAAACCCCCGTCTTAATACTGCAGCAGCTGACTCTTTCCTGCAGTCTAACAGTAACTCCTGCAAAAACTAGCCCCTCTGAAGCTATGCCGCTGAGTAATTTTGCATGTACCTCTATCTACAGGTCTACTTGAGGATCTGGTTGGAGCTGGGATTATCCACGTAAGAAATCACCTGTCTCCAGTGATGTATTTACTTATGTGACTGAATCTCTATGTATGCTGATGGATAGATATCACTAGAAGACTTCTGGAGTAATCTGAAACTGTACACTTTTTTCAGAGCAGGAAGAAATGGTACTGTGAGGACAGTTTTATGGGAATTTCTATATTATTCAAATTGGTTGAAAAAATACTAAACAATTTACGTTTGTGCATGGCTATGACTTATCTGCACTCATGCACAAAGCTGAACATAAATTTATGTAGTTTTCTGATGAGGCTTGTAGAGCAAGAGGACCAGAGTTAGCAGGAATCAGGGTGACTATGTGCCAAAAATGGTGAATGTCAACTGCTTCCCTTCATGAGTGGCTCTCAGTTAACCTCTTACCAAATTACATTCAACAAAGTTACCTTTTAGTTATCATTAACATATCTGTTTTGTTGATCATGACATGGGTAAAATACTTGTATTTTGCAAATCTTCCATTTTCCATGACCTAAAAAAAAGGTGAGAGAGAGTGAGAATTTCATTAGTATTTCTATTCTAATGCAAGTAATGCATTGTGATCCTCTAAAAGCCATTTCTCAATGGGGGAAAATTATTAACATATTTATACAGTAAACACATCATATAATTGAATATTCAGAAAATTATTGCTGCTTCCTTTTTTAAAAGCACCTATTTGTACTGATTTATTCAAGATGACTCAATTGCAGCTATATCAATGTTTAATGCTGGATTTTTGGAAGATAATGTCATGACCTTACAGAGTTTAAATTGAACCTGTTGTTACTATTAAACTATCACATTCATTTTCTCTTAAAAAACACACTAGTATTTGATCACCTATGTACAAAAACACATGTAAATGCTAACACATTGTAAACATATGTATCACATAAATTAGTATTGGCCCCATCTTGCATCTTCCCTGGAATTTTCCTATCTGCCTTACAAACATGCTTTTCTTTCCCAGTCTCACAACTCATTCACAAATGAGGAGCAGAGTGTCTCTGGACAAACACGAACTGTGGGACCTAATTAGCATATACAACAACCTTTATTTTCAAGACTGTGGAAACACTGTCTATCCATGACATTGTCAACAATTCTTTGTCCCAGAAAATATAAAAATAATTATATAAATGAAATACACATCATTTTTAATTCTGTTGTAAATATCATTTACTCTGAGGACAGAGTTACTTTGGCTACTTAAAATATATTGTGGGCTAGCCTACTTTTTTTTTTTTACTTCATTTTTTATTACTTTTTAAGGGCAAACAGTGTAACTGTGACTAAGATCCCTCAAAAAGAGGTATGTTAAGAATTCAGCCAAAATGTCAGATCTCTTGAAGAAATCCAAAAGAGATAAAAAGATTTCAGAAAATTGTGTTCCATTAGGCTATGTCTAACTTAAAATTAAAAGCTAACAAGTGACTTCAAAATAATCTTAGGTCATATTCTAAGAAAATATAAAATATTAAAAAGTATCAAATTGCATAGGAATAGAAATTTTTTGCACATGACAGTATTGTCTGGAAAACCCAAGTATATAAACCCAGTAACTTTGTTTTATAAACACAGTATCAAATAGAAAAATGGAAGGAAAAAAATTCTGTTTATCAGGATAATAAAAAATAAATATTTGTGCATAAACTTAACAAATAACATGCAAAATTTATGTCATAAAAGCTATAGCACTATTGAGGGGAATAACAGAAAACGTGAAAATGGAAATCCATGTCGTATTCTAGATAGAAAAATTCATTACAATAGTGATGTTATTCCCTTCCCCAACCCCAATTTTTACCACCCCGCCAAAACAATACGACCCCTGGATAGGGTGTGTTAGTTTCTTCTGGGGAGAGAAAAGGAAGTGATTTGACAAAATTATACTAAAATTTCTCTATGGGAAAAAGTGTTGATACCCAACAAATTGTAAAAGCTGAGTGAGAACTAAGCTAGCAGACATGAGCACAATTGGTGAAACGGTTAAGTGCTCACTGGCAGTAATACACAGATGGGTCAACAGAAAGAATACAGATTCCAGAAACTGACCAAAATGTACACTGGGACGTTATAAAATACTACATATCCAAAAACAGGGATACATAAAATCCAAATAGCATTTTAAATTACTGGGAGAAGCATGTTTATTAAATGGTGTTTCAGGTAACACGCTAGCTAAAGCTGGGTCCCCATTTCTCTCCATACCAAATCAATTCCAGGGGGCTCATGGATTTAGGCATACAAAATGAACCTATATAAGTACAAGAAAAGGTAACATTTAAATAACCTTAAAGTGAGACAACCTTAAATATAAAACACAAAGTCTATAAAACAATATAAAAAATTGTTAAGTACTTGGAAATTAAGCATTACTGGGTGGCAAAACAGTAAACAAACAGAACAAAGTAAAATAACATAAAGATTACAGAATAAACTGGGAAAATATCTGTCAATCCAGAGATATGGAGCTAATTTCATAACAGAGAATTCTAGGAATATGAACAATTCAACAGAAGAAAACTGAGTAAACCAATAGGAAAATGTGTTAAGTGCAACAAATCTGACCAATAAACATATGAGAATATGTTCAACAACTCAAAATCAAGAAAATGCCAATCAATTAAAAATACCCTTTAAGTGAGGAATTTGACTGCTAGGGTTTATCTTAAGCAAAACTATGCCAAGATATACATTGTGGAATCTTCACAGTAATACTAAGTTAAAATCATACAGGGGACTGTTTAAATAAATTATAGTATAGCCATACAATGTGACATTATGTGGTCATGAAAGAAAAATGCAGATGTGCATAATGATATAGAAGGATGTGCAACATATATTAAATGAAGAGCAATTACATTGCTGGGAATGAATGGGGGTACTAAAAACATACATGTACACTTATTTACATATTCACAAGACATATCTGGAAGGGTTGGTGATAACACACTACACTGTAATAGCACTTATCTCTGGGCTTGAAAAGGTTAATAGTGGGGGCAGAAGTGAAACTACTATTTTTAATTTTATACACTTTTCAGTTATTTTTTGTATTTGAAAAGAAATTAGCTTAAAGGTATTATTTTCTTTTGTTCTGTATAACCAAGTTTAAATATCAAGAGTACAGGGGCACCTGGGTGGCTGAGTTAGTTAAGTGTCTGACTCTGGATTTCGGCTTAGCTCATGATCTCAAGGTTCCTGAGTTTAAGCCCCACACTGGGCTTTGTGCTTGCAGTGTGGAGCCTGCTTATGATTTTCTCATTCTCTCTCTCTCTGTCCCTCCCTTGCTCACTCTCTCTCAAAATAAACTTAAAAAAAAAAAAAAAGGTTAAAAATCAAGAGTACACATGCTGATCTCAAGAATATCACCACTACTGTAAGTCAAGAGTCTATATGCCTCATTAATAATCCACAACCTTCAAACAGCTTAAAAGCTATGGTTTACCTCTAGGTACCTAGCTTCTATTTTAATGTTTTAAATTTGGGCATTGTAGATGAGCCTGCTTCGCAATACTTTCCACTTTTCACACCCAACTTAAATAAAATGTAACCTGTGCATAGAAGCAATTAAACCAATGTCAAACGTCACAGTAGCATCTGGTGGAAGTAAAAGCTAGAAATCCCCCCAAAAGTCACTCATGCTATGTGTTCTGGAGCTCACCAAAAACCTTAGATGCAACACTTGAAAGACAAATGGACACGATTGTCATATAGCTGCCTATTTTGAACATACACTGAACTGTGCTGTTATCAGAATGGATATATTTGAATAAATATCAAAGATAAGTCCTTATATAGCAAAACTCATTACAAACAGGTGAATAGAGAAGAATAGGGAACCCAGTCCCATAGAAGCATGGGAGTGAAAGAATATGATGGCTTATCAACCATCATCTTCCATCATGCCGTAAAATCTACAAACATCATGCCTTTGATTACAATTTCCCAATTATTTCACTTTATAAGTTTTCTATATATTTAGACTCTTACTTTTCATAGCATCATTATAAATCATTTCAGAAAAAAAAATTTTCAACCTAAAGCAAAGTTACTGTTCATCCAAACACGAACTTATATACACATGAAATAATGGAGAATCAGGTAAGTGTCTTACCCACCTACTCTTCAAAGCAACCTCATATGTGATTAGCTAAGATTACAGTTAAGTGACTTGCTTGGGGTCATACTGTCAGTTGCAAAAGTGGGCTCAGAAAAGTGGTTTCTTCCCTTCTAGTTCCAGTGCTTTTCACTATACCATGATGTTTCCTCTTATGGTGCCAGTCACATGTTTCCCATGGTACCTCAAAAGTGTCTTCAATATCCCTGATGCTGGATGTTGCTGAAGCAGGCTGCTAAAGCAGTGCAGGCAGGCTGATTTTTTTTTTTTTTTTTTTTTTTTTTTTTTTAGGTTAGTAGGGTTCAAATAGTTCAGTGTTAATATCCTGTCTTCCTCTTTCCCAAACAGATATTACGTATCAATGTTTCTGCTGAAATAATTTGTGATACCCTTTAAAATAAATGAAGAACTACAAAACTAGGGCTAGGAATCACTATATAGAGCCTTTGCATAAAGACAAAAATTTGGCTGAAATCCAATAATTAGGCTGAAGTATCAAGTACATTAGCCAGTATGTTAAACATGTTAGCCTCATTTAACATGCGGTGTAAAATAAAAAAACAAATTTTGCCTTATTCATTAAAATACACATCATCATTTGAGAACACAAAGGAACTGTTACATATAACTGTCAGAATTTATAGATAATTAAAATGTATGGTTACTGGTAAAAGGGTTCTTTTTGCATTAGAAGAGTATGTAGACCTTAGTTTATTAGATACAAATAAATCCAAAGTGACTGCAAACCTAGAAATACACTGATGGTAGGAACCTATAAGATAGGGGTGTCAGGGTCACCCTCTACTAACATCCACATTTCATATCAGGTAATTCCAATACTTTAGAAAAAGAAGAGACGCTGAAAATTATATTGCTAACACGTTCAAGTCGTCCAAATGCTATGAATCAGCAAAGTTCTATAACAAAAATATTTCTGAAAAGAACAAAGCAAAATATGAAAACACAGATACGGGGAATAAATCACAAACATGGAAGGCTTTAAATCCCAAACAATCTAAAGTGCTAATATTCATGGGAGATTTACTTCAGGAAATTGGATAAAGGATAAGAACACACAGTTCAGCAAAACAAAACAAAACAAATAAAAAAACCCCCAAATCTGATCAGTACCTGGCTCTTTTGGAAGACCACACAGTCTCATGGAAGTATAAATGGTTTTTGTTTTTTTTTTTTTTAAAAGACAGAAACATGAAGGATGAGAGGAAAATGAAATTCATCTAGATGAGAAATAAAGAGTAAGAATGCTATCAGACAAGACAATCTACTGGACAACAAATAAACAGCTTTATACACTGGCTAATTTGAATAGTCAGCAGATGATGGGGAAAGAGGAAAGGCCTATAAAC